CGTCAAAATCCTCATGAAGAGGTCTTTGGCTTTAGAAATTGATTACTACATAAATAATAAAAAATTCATTCAGGAACTGAACCGACCATACATCTCTGAAGTTAAATCTCAGAAACTTGACATAGAATGGCCTCAAGAGAACCAAAATATGTTAAAAGGTTAAAGGCAAAAGGGTATACCGTACCTTAGGTCCCAACAAGATGCAAAGCCATCAGTTGATCCAGAAAATAGTAAATGAGAGCTTGGGTTCAAACACAAAGTCTTTATACCTGTGGTAAGTTGTAAAAGGAATAATGTCAATGATTTTGATCAATAGACGTGCAGTCATCAGATGACCATTCCATTGGGACATGCATCATCTTAGTCAATAAAAAAACCGTGGTTACTGATGCACTGCTTCAAGAACCATTAGCTTCACACAAGAACGAATATTTACCTCCACGACAATTTTCCTTGTGCACATCTCTTCACCCCACCCAAAAGGGGCAAAAAGAAAAATGAAATTAAGTCTCTCAATTATTCCATAAATAGAAGGCATAATTATACACTATAAGTAGACTGTGCATAATGAAACTTTGAAGTATATAAAAGATGTTCAACTTAAAGTAGTATTTAATCAGGTGTTCAACTTATGGATTGATAAAGAACGAACCAGCAAGATGTTTCTTAATTTGTGAGGATTTCGGATATTTTAGGTAGTGAGACAATGCTTTGTCAAAGAAGTTAGAATCAAAATGTTTCTCAGTTTATCAGGAACACGGATGTATGAGGTACTGGGTTGTCCATATTGCACATAGGATGAGAAATTTTATGGAATTTTGGTCCCATGAGAACAAGATGTCAAAGGGTGAGGTAGCCCAACATATAACCTGCATCCTACCGTTGTTTCAAAACATTCAACCCACATGAATTTTTTGAGATGCAACCCCTTCAAAAAGACCAAAGAATGGTACTATCATTAAATTAGTTTAGATGGGTGGAAAATTTTTAATTTGTAAGTAGATGAATCCCGATCAAGAAGCTGGAATACAGGATGTATTTCATTGCCAAGTGCCACTAGTTCTTATGCACAGGGTGCTTGGTGCTTGGTGCTTGGTGCTTGGTGTCTCCTTACAATAGCTTGACTCCTTTAAGTAACAAAATATCAAAGAATGCACATAAGGTCCTTCAACTGCCAGATAGATAGCCTCAAGACAGATGAATGAGGATTGTTTATATAGATATCACCAGTCGAATTCCATGGAATAGCCTTGTAAATGGAACCCCTATTTTTAAATCAAGCAGTGACTCAATGAAAATGGTGAAATTAGAAAGAAAACACAGGTGGGTTCTCTCACTAGAGGTAAAATTGGAAAAGATTGTAGATGGACGATAACGACTGGCTGACTAAGCCTGCTAGGATTGGAAATTCTGTATTATCCAAGAATTTCAATGTGTGAATCAAGGGTTCAGGAAAAGTGGCATGAAGAGAGACATATATATGCCCAACCTAGGAAGCAACCAGTCTTGGGGAAGCCTGAGAGGTGGTTAACCTCCTTTCTAACTACTGGAAATCCTACACAGTGTCAACCATGTTTTCTCCTTATCTGACTTGTAGAGTCCATCGAGTTGCACATTAAATAACACTACAGGAAAATGTATAAGATCAAAACACCGAATGAAGAACTCCAAAAAATTCCAGTAAAAGGACATAAAATACAACCTGCAGAACCAGAAGTACTCAATGTTGCTATCTGCTGATCTGATGAAAGATCCGACATAGTAAGGCTGCCGAGAGAGGAACCGCTAACAATCAATTGATCATCACTGAAAGATAAACATGTTACAGACCCAGAATGCATCCTGAAAAAGAATACAACAGACAATACTGATAAGCAATTATAGCCAAACCACCATGTACCTTAGTGATATTTCACATAAAGCTTCTTAGAGCAAATACTAAGAAGGCTGGAAGTGAAGCCATACACGTACTTGATTATTTGAGAACATTTTCTGCTGTACATGTCAAATACACGTACTTTCCCATCCTCACACCCAATTACTGCCTGTGGATCTACATAACTACAAAGAAGAAAGAATGGAAGTTCACTTTTTTATACATAAAGAATGTACCGTGTCGACGCATCATATCTGAATTAGCTCACGCATAAATGAAGTACATTAAAAGCAAGAAAAAAATTTAAACAAGGTGCCCTTTCTCTAGTAAGAACAGTACCAACTAATGAATAACATCCAACAGATCAGAGAATGAAAAAACACTTGGAGATAAACTTATTGCACGTCACTACTATATACATGAACTTGTCTTTCCTTAAAATTTCTGTATCTGGCGCATTAATGTTATGAGAGGGAGACAAATGCATTTTCATTCAGTTTCTCAAAATAGTTGAACCATTAGTTTACACTTTAGTGGTATTCTTATAATGTGATAATGGCTATTCTACCACAACCATCATTTCCCCTAAAACATATGGCAACAACTGCACCTGACCATATCATGACACTTCAACATTCCATCGGTAACAGGCATCTGGCTATGAAACTTCAGGGAGAAAGATAAAAAGAAAATTGAGAGAAAATGTTCTCCTGCTTGGGTTCCAGAGGATAAGATTAGGAAAATGACTTTTGGGAATCACTGTAACTTATCTTCTAAATTTCTTTAACTTCAACATACTTGGAAACTTTTCTGGGAGTGAGCTATGTTTCCTGGGGAGCAGGAGACAAAGAAAGAAATTTCTCTATTTTCTTCTTGTTTTCGAATAGAATTTGAAACTAACATCACAAGGCACATATAAGCAAGCATATATAGTCTGAGCTACTTTTGAGTGAAAAGAATACAGAAAGCTAGTAGTTGTTTGTAAATAAGTCTTGCTCACTTGGACACAATAAGAAACCCTAGATTTTTACATAAACTATTTTCAGTTAGTTGATTGGCATTAAAAGATACATTATCAGATCAAACTGGAACTGAAATTTTTACAGTCTATTCTATGCAAAACCTCACTTCTACAAATACAGGAAGACCTTTCTGATCTGGAAAGTGATTGAAATGCTCACAGCACCAAAATGGAGTGTATCCCTGCATTTTCCACTTCTGCGGAAAATTTCTCATAAATAAAAGGGATCATTTTTACTTCTTAGCAGCAGGAACTAAGCACTGTTGGAGACTTGGAGCCAAGAGGCCATTACGAATTTCCTTGTCAGAGGTACAGTGAGACGGAGATAAGGCATGTTTTATGATGTTGGTTAGTGAGGTGGGTGGATTTAAAAGTTTATATGGATTTAAGAGAGGGATGTAGGTGATAGGGGACTTTCTGTCTTCATCTTAAAATTCTACTTCCCACTTTAGACGTGAAGCTTTTCTTAGAAGGTGAAGTTGAAAGAGATACTGATTAATTTGAAGGAAATGGGTTACAAGGACTTGAAATTATACTCCTTTGGAATGGGTTCTTCATATTTCCTGTTCCCAATCCATAGATACCAATATCATCTCCATGGAACGACTAATCCAGAAATATATTTGGTAGTTAGTATACGCATTAATATGAGCATAAAACCAAGGCACAAAAATCATAAATGAACCTCAAGAAGCCTAATGTTTACTGTGCGAAGACTATTAAGAGTATATTTCTTAATATCTTCTGAATTTGGGAACTTCTAGAGTGGAGGATCCTTGTTTAAGACAATCACATAGCATACTTTCCACGATATCAAGGTAGGAGATATGAACTTGTAGATATAGAGATAAAGGGAGATTTAAGCCCTTGAAATCTGGCTATGGGAATTTCGCAATGGCTCTTATAGCAGATTAGAACCACGAAGGAGGTACAACGGGATCGTTAACACTTGGAGAATAAGATTTACAAGGAAGGGAAGCTATGGTAAGTGTGTCCTCCCTTTAATTCATACCTACATATGTATAGACAACTAAAGTGCCTGATCTCCAGTCAAATTACAACACATATATTATTGAAATAGACATAAAAGATAACAACTACTTTAGTAATACATAAGGTTGACAACTGCTTCAATAATGTACAACCTTTAATAATTACACATTCTGGCACTATACAATTATACTTGTAAGCAATACACCTATTAAATAGAAGTCAATGCTCTTTGTACCAATTGACTCGATCAAATCCGTTATACGATTTAGCCGTTTGAGAGGCATCCTTGTAAAATGTGCATCATGCCTTTCGTTAAACTAATCCATTTCCATTTTAACCTATGGAAAAATATTAGATTAAATATGCACCGAAATTGTCTATCCTGAAGTGAAATTTTTCGCCTTTGTAGATAACAAACACTGAAGGTGTCAAAATCTTGCAACTCATTGACAGTCTAGACAAAAAATGGAAAAAGTATAATCTAAAACTACTTAAAATGTAGCTCAGATATCATACCTAACTGGATTGATCAGGGATAAAAACTGTAATGAGAAAACCCTTTCATGGATAGCAATTATAAAGAGGTATAATGCAAATTCTGGAATACATTTGAAAGGCCTCCTCATCACAAAACCTCTCCAGCTTAAGACTATTTGATAACAGACCCATCCTAACACAACAATAGCCATTAATCTCAGCCAAGCCCAACCAGTTTCAATACAAACCGGTGAACTGGGCTTCAGGATGGTCAACTTCACTAGTTGGATCTGATATGCATGTCACACCAAAAACCTGCGGGAACCACATCATCGAACTCCCGACTACCAACCTCAAGAAAAATCCTTATCTTGATCCACCATATAAAACAAAGCTAAGAAACTCCTAATAAGCCTTGAACACGCTACCCTTCCCAGCTTCTAAAGAGCCAGGTCTAATAAAAATGATTCATTGGACTGGCATCAAAAAATGATAGACAGAACATCTACTGACTACAGTCAAATGAATTTGGCCATATGCCGAGAACTTCAACAAAGGAAGACGAACAGCCTGTTGGCATGGCTTCTTCTCTTTCTACTTTTTGGAGAAGATCTTCCAGAAGAAGCCACATAGGCCAGTTTTCTCTAATAACTCTTCTAACCACACAAAGCACTTTTAAAAAATTATCCAAACAGGCCAAAATCAACCACTCTAAAGAAACTCTTGACTTCCCACCAAATGGGCCCTAAATCGATTGATGCTACTTCCTACATATAATGCAATAAAAGAATGAAGACGCAATCTAAATTTTTTCAGGAATCACTCCCAGATTATTGATTGAAAATCGTATATTGCTAATGACAAAGAAAAAGCTAAAAGAAGTCTTAACAAAATTAATTTAAAAACAATTAACAAATTGCTTCTGAAGATTTAAGAAAAAGGTGTGATCATTGTAATGAATATCACGCACCGCATACATAATCCTTTAGTAAACAAGCCATCACGTGACGAAAATATATCTCTTATTCCAATGCGCTTCCATATGCATATACGAGTCCCAACCAGACCAACCACCTATAGGACAATAAAGGAAACCAAAAATTAAATGTTGTTAGTCTTTTGACTTGAGTCAAATGAACCCTCCGTGAAATCATAATAATTATGAGGCATGCCATCCTTCCCTGGTTTGGCAGAAGTGATGCAAGACAGGAAAAAACAGCCTAGGTTCTCCGTCCCAACCACATCTTATGTATTCAAGCATATAAAACACTTCACATTTGACAACTCACATGAATGTACAATTACTGAATAACAGAAAAACAGTAATTGCGTCAGAAAATTACAGTAAACATGACTCACTCAGATAATATTAGCCAATCATTAGATACCCCCATGGGTCAGTCTTCGTGATCAAAGGAACCTTGGCTCAAATTCATCATAATAGGAACTACTCGCGTTCACAATTTCATTTCCAGAATACAAAAGGCACCAAAAGTGATGTTGAGCATGGCAATAATAGATCAACTTGTCATGAGGTGGAAACAAAATACAAAAACAAGGGGAACACGTTTGGCTTTATGATTATCATTGCATCAACCACAATATATGAAATAAAATCAAAATAAAAAACCAGAACAAGTGATTTAGTACTTGGAGTAGAACTGTATAAACCCAACAGGCTGGACATAGCCCTATGTATCATCTTATTCTTTCAGATCCTTTTAGTGGGGATAACTAAAACAGTAATCATTCCAGATCAATAAAATTATATGAGCCACAGCACAGCACTAATCTTTCCATTTCATGCACAGGAATAAATTTGTCAAAGAGATAATAGAAAGCTAGGAATTCCTGCATAAAAACCTGGAAAACTATCTTCCTTATACTGTCACAGTAGATTGCAAATAAGAGGTCAACAATTAAAGAGAACTGGCTCAATCAACTTAAAGGAAATGCATTGTTTTATGCAAGAGTAGCTATATCATCTCTCATAAACTCAACCACAAAGCATTGAGATCATATCAATCTGAGCCATTTTTACCTGAAAAGATGGACATCTTTTTCCAGTCTGAAGACATGGTGGATATTTAAGCAAAAATAGTTTAAAGAGACATGGAGATATTCCTCAAAGGGCCTAAATCACTTAAGGAACCATAAACACAAAAACTCTCAAAGATATCATCAAAAGGCTACAATTTTGCTGCAGAAGGCAATGAGGTATCTTTTCAAATTTTTAGAACATGGGGCTAGTGCAACATACAGTGAAGTTATATTTTGCTAATTAAGGCAGCACCTTTATGGGCTTTCAATTATGTGGCAATGATATTTTACATTGATGTACATGCAAAATGATCAAGCCTTTGTTTGAGCCCCATTTTGTTGAAAAAACAGATTTTGTAATGGCAATTTTTGGGAGAATGTGTTGTTAAAAAATAAGAAAAAATTTTGAAATTACGTGTAAATTATTTTATTAGGAGAATATATGATTGAAAATAAGTTTGGAGAAAAATGAGTTTTGAAATACTGGACCCAATAAGAAACCTTCAATCCCAATTGATGTGTCTCTAAATATTTCTTCCCTATCACTTCAGAGTCGTCTGCTTTCCTATTCAAAATCGAAACCCTAGCTCTATTCTAGCTTCTTCTTTTTTTCTTTTCTTTTTTTTATTTTTTATTTTAAAGCAAAACCCCACCAGAATAAGCCCAATGTGTATCAGTCTGAAACAAATACAGCACTTGGGGGAACAGTGTTGTATCCATGCTTCTTAGCATATAACTATGATCATGTCAACCTACAAGCCAAGCACAAATATTGGCATATAGTGCATACAAAATCACCTATTTGTTTTTTACGTTGAAAAACTATTCATTGCTAAAGATAAAACAAATGAAGTTTGTACACACATACATGCAACAAATAAGCTAATAAATTGAGAACACCATGTATTGCACTTTGATCATTGTCCCAATGGACTATTAATGTCTTTCTAAAGTTAAATATTTAGTTCTGTTTATTCAATATCAAGCTATTCCTGCATTATGGATTAGCCTCTGGATGTACCTTGTATCCTCTTCTCTGCTCTCTTCTGTTTGCCGGGTTGTGAAGGTATCATTTATGCATATTTTATGAATAACCATAAGCATTTAAGATCAAAGTTGCAATGGTATAGTAGTCGTGTACAAATTTTACAAAGCAAGAATTAAATCTAAATTACATGTTACCTTCCCTTCGTCAAAATCAAAATCAATTAAAGGGGCTTTGTCCGGAAGAAAATATTCGTCCAAGCATTTGCTGCTTTCGGCAGACCAGAGACGCATCACCTAGCACCAATCAGATGCTAAGAACGTTAGTTGAATCAGATGTCTAAGGTTCCCAGCATAGTTGAATGCAAACATGAAAAAAAAATGCGTGTAAACACAAAGATCGACATGTTTTCTTTGAAGGTTTCTTTCATTCATATTACTACTGCATAACATCATTGAGAATTTTTTTTCAAAAAAAGTGAACAAATCTTGGCCCTGTTAAAATGGAGATAGGAATTTAACATGAAGACCATAGCCCTATGATGCACTGATATGGACACGAGTGGCCAACACGATATAGGCGTGGCAGGTGGACACGCCAACAAGTGATTTTCCAAAAGACTAGTGACATGACACCTTAATTAATTATTTTTATTATTACTTAGAGTAAAAAGCAAACAAAATTTTAGGAAATAAAAGGTACTTTATTGTTTTTAAAATGGTTGAAAAGGGAAGTTAATTTGGAAATTTAAAACAGGCTGACCTTTTTAACCCAGTTGACCAACATATTTTAAAGGGTGTATAAACTCACGTAAGATTAAAGTGGTTACCATTTAGAAAAAAATTTGCTTTATGGCCTTAAAAAAATTACAGAAGTTTAAAAACTAGGTTTACTTTGGGATTTTGCTGTTTGAGGCTATAGAGAGCCCAACTCCTTAGCTGCTAAGCGCCGGCATGTAAGGATTGTGCCAGAAGGGAGGAAATGAAGAAATACAGCATTAATCTTGACATATATTAAGATAGAAGGTTAGTTCTCGTTTTTTAAGGGATTTTTTTTTTTTTTTTTTTTTTTTTTTGGTTTTTTTTTTGTTTTTTTTTTTTATA